GGGGGGGGGGGGCGGGGGGGGGGGGAAGGGCAGTGGCCCCGGGCTGCGGGGTGGTGGCTGGGGAAGGGGGGGCCCAGGCAATGGGTCCTGGGGGGGGAGGACACACCATGCCGTGGGGCTGGAAGACAGCATCCCCGCGCCGTGGGGCCGGCAGCCTCCCTCGCTCTCCCCCCAAGGACGCAGCTGAATTTCACCGTCGCCATTGACTTCACGGCCTCCAATGGTGAGTGCCGTTGGCCTGGGGGGGGGGGATCCCCATCTGCACGGCCACGGGGCAGGTGCCGACGGGCGCTGTGCCGCAGGGATGCCGTCGCAGCCCACCTCGCTGCACTACGCGAGCCCCTACCAGCTGAGCGCCTACGCCCTGGCACTCAAGGCGGTGGGGGAGATCATCCAGGACTACGACAGCGACAAGCTCTTCCCCGCCTACGGTTTTGGTGCCAAACTCCCACCCGACGGCAAGATCTCCCACCAGTTCCCCCTGGTGCGCCCCGGGGTGGGGGGGAACACCCAGAGCAGCTACCAGGGCATCCCACAGCCTGGGGGGGGGCACTGGGAGCCGTGGTCCCCCTCCAAGCACCCGTCCCCGTCCCCCAGAACAACAACGCGGACAACCCCAGCTGTGCCGGCATTGAGGGCGTGCTGGAGTCCTACCTCCAGAGCCTGCGCACCGTCCAGCTCTACGGTCCCACCAACTTCGCCCCCGTCATCAACCAGGTGGCTGGGTGAGCGCCGGGGGACTCTGTCCCCTTTGCCGTCCCCAAATGCCACTGGTCCCACAGCGGGGCCAGCTGCCCCACATCGGTGGGGCTGCTGGAGGGACCCCGTCCCTTGTCCCCATAGGGCGGCCGCCCAGGTGACCGACGGCTCGCAGTACCACGTCCTCCTCATTATCACCGACGGTGTCATCTCTGACATGCTGCAGACCAAGGAAGCCATCGTCACCGTGAGTGCACCCTCATCGCCGTGAGTTCACCCCAGGCCGGGTGCTGCCCCGGCTGCCACCCTGCCTGTGCTCCACAGGCTTCCGCCTTGCCCATGTCCATCATCATTGTGGGAGTGGGTCCGGCTGAGTTTGAGGGTGAGTTGGGATTTGGGGACACCAGGGAAGGGGGATGGAAACACCGTGCCTTCCTCTGGGACGCGTCCCGGAGGAAGGCACGGTGTTTCCATCCCTGGTGGCCACCCCACTGAGGCTCAGTGACACCGGCTGCCTCCCCCCCAGCCATGGAGGAGCTGGATGGTGATGAGGTACGGGTGTCTTCCCGGGGACGCTATGCTGAGAGGGACATCGTACAGGTAACACCGGCATTGAGCCCGGTCCCACCACGGGCGAGAGATGCTCAGCCCCTCGCTGACCCCCGCAGCCGCAGAGTTGTTTCCAACCACGCCGCAAAACTTCTTTCCCTCGAAGTTTGTGCCGTTTCGGGATTACGTGGACGACTCGGGAAACCAGGTGCTGAGCATGGCTCGCCTGGCCAAGGACGTGCTGGCCGAGATCCCCGAGCAGCTGCTCTCCTACATGAAGACCCGCGACATCAAGCCTCGCCGGGCAGACCCCCAGTAGCCCCTCCACGGGCCGTGGGGCCGGCCGGTGGGGCGAGGACGCGCCTCACGTTTCTTCTACCGATGGCCAAAGCTTAGCTGTGGAGATGTGGCCACCGCAAGGGCGATAATCAGCTGGTGAACGAGGCTGGGACCTTCTTCTTCTGGCAGCCAGACCACGGGGCTGGACGTCCCCGGGGTGGCTCAGACTGTACCGTCCCTCAGCCCCGGCAGCGCCGGTGCCGTGGGGCTGTTGGGGTGCCGTGGGGCTGTTGGGGTGCCGTGGTGTGGCCCTTCCCCGGCGCGGAGGCCGACCCTGGGGCTGGGTGCATGACGGGGGTCCCAGCCCCGCCAAAATCCTTGGAGCAGGGGGGGCTTCAGCCCGCTCCTGCCTGCGCCCCATTCCTGCCCGAGCCCT